AAGTCACAGCCATGTCACAGGGAGACAATGGTCATTGAGGTTCCTAAGGTCTGTGAAGATGCCCAGACCATTCCTGAAGGCTGAGCTCTGGGATTCCAGACTTGGCCTGAGGTTGTGGTGGGCCCCCAAGTACGTTGCTTGAAGAGACCTTCCAGCACCCCTGCCTAATTCACTTCTCTGGTTTACCATAAGGTTTGTCAGCTCAGGAGTCCAGGAAAGAGGTGCTTAATGGGCTCTTTTGATCTTGAGTCCCCCCAGTAGTTTCTGTTTGGACGGCTGCTCTTTCCCTTAATGATGAGGACTCACATTTTGTTTCCTCCCCCACCCCCAGCCTTCCTCTCCCTCATCAGATGCCTGGGCCAGATGACATGACCACAGATCAGGACTACTGTACCTTTCAAAGGGAGGTTGTGAAGGGCACTAAGGTTAAGCCTAACATCTGGCAGGGACTTCTGGTCACTTTCCTGGGCCCGCCCCCATCTCCTCTACTGAAAGCCACCCCTGCCAGTCAAGACTCCCACTGAACTCTTTCCATTATAACTTGAGTCCACTGTCCTGGTTTCTGCCATGCACTTCTCCAGTGGCTCATCCTTGCCTTTCTTCATGTGCTCACAGTCCCTTCTAATGACCTTTGAAAACCCAATGAGCCCTGTGAAAATCAGCCCCTTTGGCCAGGAATGGAGTCTCTCCAGCCAGCTGGCGAAGGAGCTGCTGTTACTGCAAGCGTTTAATGTAGTGAGGCAGGTGAGCCTCTCACCTGGGCTCCCCTGAGGTGGACACTGTGATCTCTGGTTGGTACCTCAGAACCGCTCCTTCTTGGACAGTATCTATTTACTTCTCCTTCTGCCAACACATTTGATGCCTTAGCTCTTGGACTTTCATGATACTTCCTTTCTTGTAATTTTCTTTTTTTTTTTTAAAGTGTACTTTTTAGAGTTTTATTTCTTCTCTTCATTTTATATTATTTTTCTTTCGTATCATGCTTTAACAATGGTAATGAATGCAGAAGAGGCAGTAGTTAATCCAATCCCAGTCACTCATTTTTACATAATTGTTTAAGTTATTTTTTTTTTTTAAAGATTTATGTGTTCATGCATACCGAACTGGGGTACAGACCTGAGGTGTATGGGCAGGTGAGAGGATTCACCAGCAACAGAGTGGGGAGCAGAACAGGCAGATACACTGAAATACACTGCTAAGGGGAGCAGTAAGCGGGTCAGGAGATGTCTGACATGCCATGTGGGTCACCTCCCTGGCCGGGGATCGACCATGTGCTGCAGTGGCTGCAGTAGCTTCATAGTGCTGTGCTTTAACCCACTGCATCACCAGGGAGGGTCCAATTATTTAAATTCTTCTGTAATTTCAATCTACTAATCATCTTTGCTTGCCCATGGCCCTGAGTTGTCCCTTTGAGCTCTCTAGAAGCTATGGGGCTTAGCACTCCTTCCTAACTCCTTGTCTCGCGCCAAGTTCTGGAGCATGCCACTCAGCACAGCACACAGGAGCCTCAGCTTGGCTAACCTGGTCATTTGTGGTAGGATGTGATTTGCCTCAAATGCAAATCTTGAATTCAATCAATCTTGAATTTTTTTATGCCATCTAATATTAGTAGTGACTAAGAAAGATACAGAGGACATGTCATTACATTTTTACAGGTGAGCTTTGAAAAAACACAGATTATGTCTTTAGATTCACCCCACTCCCAAATCAAGCCCAAATTCTCGAGTGTCTATCAGAGCTGATCACTGAAGGCCAGTCTGTCTTTCTAATCATCTCAGGTTGTCTTTCATGCATGTGACCCCAGGAAACAGATGCTTTCCAAGTTTCCTCTGAGCCATTCAGATTTTTTTTGGTTCATGGTTTCCCTCTCATGACCAAATTCAGTATGTGCTTCAAAGATAAGCTCACCAGCTGTATTCATGTCTTAGACTTGCTGCAACAAATATTCACAAACTTGATGGCTTAAAACAAGAGAAAGCTACTGTCTCTTGGTTGTAGGACTAGAACTCTGAAATCAGGCGTCAATGGGCTGTCTTTCCTCTAAAGACTCTGAGGCAACATTTCCTTGCCCGCTCCAGGTGTCTCCAGGTATTTATTCCTGGGCCCGTGTCCTTTGCCTCCACTTTTGTGGCCTTTGCTGTGTTTGTGTTTTTTCCTCTTTTGTCTTTTGTAAGGGTGATGGATTTAGGGCCATCGGAGACATCCAGGATGACATAATCTCTAGATCCTTGATTACATCTGCAAAGTCCTTTTTTTCAAATGAAATTATAGTCATTAGTTCTGGGGGCTAGAAGTTGGACATACCTTTGGGGTGGCACCATTTCCTAATTTCTTGGGAATATACAGTTTCTAACTTTTTCTAAGGCTTTCCTCAGTCAAAGGTGACCTCTCTTCTCTCTGGACTCCCACACCTTTTATCCAAGTCTCCTAAGGGACTTTTGACCTTCTCTTGTACAGTGCAGGCATTCCGGCATCTGTGCTAAGTTGTGAGTTGCAGAGTTCGATGACCTGTATTCAAAGACTAGCTCTGCTGCTTGCTGGCTGAGGGCACCATTTGAATCGCTTAACTCATCTTCCTGGGTTAGGATGCATTGCAGAGTTAGAGGTACAACACTTGAGGAGACACCACTCTCAGACTCTGCTTACCACCCCAAGAGTGAGATTTCCATGGACTTCTTTAGGTTTTGTGCCCGTGGTTTCTCTTGCTTTATTCTTGTCCCTGTCCTTTCTCTGTTTTTTAATCTTTCAAGATAAGGTAGGGATGAGGACCCCCCCTCATAGAGAAATGGGAGGCTTCCCTATGTAGCACAACTGAAAGATTTATAACAGTGCCCAGATGTAGTAGGGGTTCAAGAAATGAAAACCCTTGTTTCTCTGATCAGACAGTAAGTTTCTGAAGAGTTGGCCTTCATATCTAATTCATTTTATATATTCCTATTTGTTGGAGACCAACTTTAAATGCACTTTAAATGCACTGCATTTAAAGTAGTATGAATTGTGTTTAAATGAATCCAGGAATATTTGCTAGCTTTGAGGCATGTGGCAAGTAGGTTAGCAATCTATAGTTAGGCAAACAACACAAGCCTTGAGTCCCAGATCAAGCGTTCTTGAGCTGATCCATCTCCTTGGTCACATTTAGTAGCTTTAGGTGAGGTGTCTGGACCAGAGGAGCAGAGCCTAAGCCTCAGAAAATTGCTGAGGTTGGTTTTCAAATTAGAACCATAAAAGAAAGAGCTCTAAAATTGGGATGCGTGCGCTGAATTAGCTAGTGTCTGGAGAGCAGCGGCTCATACGTGCAAAGTGGCTTCATTCCATGCATGCTGGTTCCGTCAGGAGCAGGCCAGCTCCTTCTCGGCTGTGCAGTGGCCAGCTCCTTGGGAAGGAGACTTTCCTGGAACATGGAGACTATCTTGCATCTTGCCTGGAACTCTATGAAACTTCTGGCAGCATCTGGCCCAGCTGGGTACACCCCAAAAACACCACACTAATTTGATACTGGGATTGATATTTCTCTTTTAAATTGTGGTTGGGACTCATTAACTCTCAATAAGGACCGACGTTGAAAGAGGAGTTTCCTCCCATTCTAGCAAAAAAAAAAAAAAAAAAAAAGTCCCTTCCTTGGATGGACCACAGCTCCTGTAACTGATTTGCTCCCCTGGCACAGAACCACATGTTGTGTGGTACCCCGAGGCTGGTGAGAAAGGGGACAGACTCAAGAATTCCTGGGTGGGAAGGCTCTTCTTTGCATTTACCACAGTTGCTAAAATGTTACATTTAATAGCTCAAGACTGGTCTGTGTTTGCCTGGAAACTGTGTGTGTGTGTGTGTGTGTGTGTGTGTGTAATTCATTTTCTTTTTTAACTTCAAGATGGCCATAATAAGAGCCAGACTGTTGATGAGTCTAACGATTAGAAGCAGCTTCCTAACATCCCCGCACACAATCACGTTGAGTTCAATTTTGAGATGTTGTTCAAAAAGTTCAAAATGCGTGGTGTTTATCAAGCGACATCACTCAAATACCCAGCGTCGCAGGTGCCAGACACGTGCATCGGGCTTGCAGTTGCCCAGCTCAAGGGCTGCCTTTGTGACCAGCCACAGAGTTAAGTAAAGCAGCCTGGAAGGGTGCCGGGAAGGTTCTTTTAGTAGCTGCTGTGTTTATGACCGTAATGCCACTACAACACTGGCAAGCTGGGGCTGCCTTCAGTGTGGCTGGTGTGTCTAGTTGCTTTCCTGGACGAGCTCCGTGCTTGGAAACTAGAGTATAAAGGGGGTCTCTTGGCTTCAGGAATCTGGCTCAGCGTTTCTGTCCATCTGAGTCATGTCCACATGTGCACTTGCTTCTTTTGGAGCCAAACTGACCCGTTATCACCACGACTCTTCAATAGCACTGAAATTACACTAGTTTATGAAATCTTTTTCCTTTTCACTCTCTGTTCACAGAACAATCTCCAGGAGCTGTGGGAGTGGGATAGGTCTGGAAAATGCATTCTGAACCACTTCACTGCTTGAGAAATTTTTTTATTGTATTTTTTTCAAGGGATCCTATGAACAAAAATCTCATAGTTACAGGATAGGCAAACATTTAAATTGAAAGCAATCTGCTGGTAAGGTCCTCTGCTTTAAGCTACTAGACGAGAGGTAGTAGTTCTGAATTCTGAGGTTAGCAGCAACTTGGAGTGTGGGTTAGAGTCTCTTTCAACACAGCTAGTGGTGCTGATGAAAGAATTGCTGCTTTCAAGAGCGGGAATCTTGGTCACCGATAATGACCTCATCACGTCCATTTGTATCTTATATCAGCAACAAGGTCCTAATGTTGTTAGAAGTGGTCCCATGCTCCATCCCATAGCATCTAGTTTGTCATAATCTATGCAGTGTCCGTTTTCAAAGCCTTTCAAACCCTTGAATGCTCAAGGGCCAAGCAAGGTCAGAGTCAAGATCAGGGGATTTGATTACCACTGTGGACTGCCTACCTGTCTTTGTGTAAAAAAAAAAAAAAAAAAAAAAAAAAAAAAATTTTACTGGGGCACAGCCATGCTCACTCATTTCTATATCATCTATGGCTGTTTCATGCAAAGCTGAGAAGTTGTAACAGAGATTGTATGGCCCACAAGCCCTAAAACATTTACTTTGGGTCTTTATGGGAAAGGTTTGCAGACCCCTGGCCTAGGTAATTAGGTGAGTCAAATGTTGGCTAGAGGTCTCCAACCAGTGATGCCAAGAGAAGGAATGGACTGGCTTTTGTTGTTGTCATGCATTGTGTAATTAAAAAAGTCTTCCTGAATACATTGTATGTGTTACCTGGACTCCTAAAGTATTGCTGGATTACTTAGATGTTCATAAATCAATGCTGTTTCTCCAAACATCTATAAGATACAAATACTGGCAACCACAGCTTTATTCTGTGTCTGTGCAAAACTCAACAATGCTCCAAACCATGGGCTGTAAGCTATAAATGCAGTTCTACTTCAAGCAAAATACTTCAGTCTAAGTATGTCCCTAATCTTTGAAACCAGTTTTAAGAGTCACCAGAAAGCTGTAGTTTAAGACACTTTTCTTAGCTGAGTTTTCCATGCTGGAAACAACATGCTGGATCGATTCAGTAAAACATGCCATAAATTATACGCCTTGTTATTTGAATTAATATGACACTTTCCACAATGACAATAACTAGGAGTTCAAAAGCATTGGGCTCTAGGTGATTATTCATCCATTGGTGATGACTTAAATCTTGCCTTTTTTCACCAGGTTTGGGCAGTCTAGTGAGGAGTATAGGGTATGACAAAGGTGAAGACTGAAGCTAAAATACTACAGTCTCATCCTGTGTTAAACAACCTACATAAATGTGAGTTCACTGGTTGGCTTGAGATTAGACTGACGTGTTAGAACACATCTGAAGGTTCTGAAGTGTCACTCAGGCATTATTTGGTGTTGGTTATAATGAAGGCTAGCTATTTTTTTCATTTAAGTACTATGTAGGTCATAAGAAGTGACTAGGCAGGAAAACTAGGCACTCTACCTGCAAGTGTATCTTAGTAGTTATGTGACTATTTGCAGCAGAAAAGCCACACAAGGCACAAGACCACCTGGCTGCTGCTTCTCAAGATGCAGGTTGAACCACCTGACTTGTGAGCTGTGTCTACAGACTTATGAAAGTGGCTAAAATCTAGTTCTCCAATTGTAACTGTCTTTATACCTAGAAAAAGTTATAAAGCCTGAGATAAGCCTGAGATAATGACTTAGGGGAGAAATGGTGTATTAGTGGAAATGTCAATATGGATTTACATATGATTTTTGGGACATGTTGAGAATCAAAACATAAACCCACCTGAAACATTTTAAGATCTAAACAAAGGCCTAGGATAGAAAGTTTTCCCTTCCAATTCAAGTGTCACAGACTCTATTTAACTGAAGCAAATATACTAGTCTATATTTTATGTAAAAAAAATTGATCCTAGTTCCTCAGTTTTTCTTAAGCTGAAAGTCTGCCAGCTGAGGTGTTTTATTTGGTCTATGCCATGATTTCAAAGACAGTCTTACTTTTCAAAGGCTATTTATAAGAAGGCTAGTTTTCAAAAAAGCTGATTCCCCATGCTAATTTAGGAGTAGAAAGCTGGGATTCTTTTGGAGAGGTTCATCAATGATCTCTTGGGAAAAACACTCTTGCACTTTTGGTTCAAGAGTGAGACCATGGGACAAAACATCTCTTGACAAGCAGGCAGCTGACATACCGAGCTCTGTGGGAGAAGCAGCAGATGTGCTCTGCAGGCGGCTTGCAGATGCCCATTTCTGGGGTGTACCACTTGCCTGCTTGGGTAGCCAGGCTCCAAATAAGATCTAGGCAGTTCAGCATCCACCAGGGAGAGGCCCAGGGTATGGGGAGCACGTCCAGTTGCAGTCCATGGAGCACGTGACTGTCAAGCTTCAGCAGGCCTCACTGGTACAGACATGGAGGTGGGGTCAGGGTGGAAGCGATGCTAGCATATGTCTGCCTCAAATGGCTGCTGACACAAATGGAACATGTGTGCCTTTTTAAAAAGGTGGTATCAAGTAACAGGCTGACAGCCGTCCCCTGGCATTTCAGGCTTCTTTCTTCTCTCCACTTTGGCTCTTTGTTGAGTCGCTTCCATCGGGCAAAGTTCCATAGGACAAACCATTCGAGTCTGGTTGTATTTTGTCCAACATTTGTTTTCCTGTGGAGATAACAATCACACACACACACTCCTTTGAGCTGTTACAGAGAATAATTTCTTCTGTATCTAGGCCACATTTTATTCCTTTCTAAAAATACTATGTAGTCACCCCCTAAATAGAAGAGACAAATGTCAAGGAAGAAAAGGCCCGCGGAGCTCCAGGGGCTGTGAGCTCGCTGTGTGGATGGGGCATGCGCACATGAGCCAGCACTCCCCAGCTTCAGGGTTTAGTCCCCCAACCTGGAAGTCAGGATGAATCAGTCAGCTCTCACCATAAAGCTCTCATTGTCTCTAAACTGTTCTTCCCCTGTCCTAGTTGCTTTCTCCATGATTAGTTTAATACACAGAACTACTTAGAAAAGCAGTCTGCAGCAGAGGCTTCTAAAGTTGTTACTGACCCTACTTTGTGAAATGGAAGAGTTCAAAATAGGTAGACTTTCTTACCCACCAAAGAATATCTGACCATGCCAACCATGTGCAATGCACCCTTTTGCCACAAAAGTCAATTCCTGCACTGAGCACTCTTGGCTGATAAGAGGAATTAAATGGAAAGAGGACACAGAATGAATAGGGTCATTCTTTTCTCAGTCATAGGGAGGCGGCTTTAGTGGTTTTTGCTTCAAAACTTGGTCACAGCAGAATGGTGGAGGGAGCCACCTCCTGCCTGAAAAACTATATATAGGTTACCTCAAATTCCTAGAAAAGCTGGAGATTATTGGAGAGGAGTAGGGTGAGTGAGGTAAGGGTTAGGGAAAGAAGTTCTTTTTGTTCTGGTGACTGCGTCACCAGGTATACAAGCTGAGAGCAGCCTCACTCTCTAGCCAAGATGTCCCTTTAGAGCTTCTCCAAGCAGCAGGGGTCTGCTGTTGGCTACCATTCCCTACTCTTCCTTCTATGCTTTTCTATGTTAAGGACACTCAAAAAGGAATCTGTCAGCCACCCAAACCAAGAAAACAGTTCTTCTATATCCTACTGTTCTGTATAAAACTGACATTTAAATAATTACTTGACATTTATCGTTAAAGCTTCACCTTTGGTTTCATCATTAAATGTGCAGTTTGGGAAGCTAAGAATTTTTATATTTATCATCCCAAGTAGTACTACCAATTATTCATTTATAAGAATAAAGCTTTCTATTGTACATTAAAAGATATGCTACTTTACCAGGGATATTTCCAAAATCAATGTAAGACTGTGGCAGATGCTCCTTTTCTCGGTTTCTTGTGACCAACAGCACACCAAGGAATGACAGAAAACACCTGTAAGAATAATATTAATATAGGACACAAAAGCAGTAAAACAACTCAAGGTATTAAATTACTAAGTTCCATATTTTACAAGATGACACACATTCCATCGGTTTTGTTCATCCTGTTTCTCATGGTAAGCTGCCTAGAACTTGTCCTAATTGTTGTAGCCAATAATATTTGTCCCCAGAACCAAGACTTGGGAAGATTCCAATAAATCTGCCCCAGGTTTTTACCATCTGGAGGCTAATTCCGGCCCTGGCCCCTCTGGGTAGACTCTAGGTCTCATTTTCTATCCATGCATTCTCAGACCTATTATTGACATGCAACACAAGCAAAAAATAAGAATTTATTCTTTAGTTTTCTAAGAAAATTAGTTGTCCTTGGCCATAAAAATAGTCATAGTTTCCAGACCCCAGAAGTATAGCCTTGCCCAAATAGCTTACGAAACTGTATTTTCAAGATAGATGGTTTCCTGCACAGAAAATAGTCTGGGCTTAAGTCTGCATAACAAAGTCTGCCGAGTTAGGTGATGCACTAATGGGCGCTTGCTGGAGCCAGAAGAAGCTCCTGCACGTGACGGTGTCACAAAGTTCTCTCTTTGCAAGCAGTGCTGACGGTGGTGCCCACGCCTGTCTGGGAAGGGCTCAAGCTGGGCCCCCAGACACAGGTAGGGGTGGCACCAGTGGGATGCTGGGGCCAGCCCCAGCCTTGGCCTTTGATTTTGGGTGATCCTAGGGGCATCCATGTTTCTCTGGCACGTAAACTGGGTGTTCTTAAGAGTGAGGCAGGTCTGCCAGAGCTCGACAAAAAAAAAAAAAAAAAAAGGGCTGTGGTGTAGCTATAAAGGCCAGTGGGTTATCTTGACTTCACTTGGCACTGAAAATCCTCAGTTTTAGGACCGGCGGAGAAACTAAGTTTAAGTTACAAAGTCAAAGACATGGAGCTGAGTGTGGTGTTAAAAGGAATCTTTCTTTTAGGAGCTCAGGAAATGGTATTTCTTAAATTATTTTCCAATTTCCTATGCCTCAGGTACAATGCCAAAAATCCTATATAAAAGTAACAGAACCTCACATATTTTACCTCTGAGACATTTACTCACCCAAAAAGATAAATGAATATAGTGAGAAAAGCTGCACCAAGGAATTCCTGATAAAATATGATACCTATAATAGGAATGGTGGACAAAATTAATCTTAGGATAAAAATAATTGTAACAGCAACATGGTTTTGCAAGTTTTAATTATTTTTAAAATATAATCATCCTAAGCACATTCAGTAGTTCAATTTAAACCTATTTGCATTCCACACTTAGAATTCCAAAAAAAGCACAGATTTGTAGACTTTATATAACGTCTTGCTATAAAATCATATGTAATATGTCATTATAAAATCAACGTAACTGATATAAACTTTGCAAATGGAAATTTTTTATCCAGTCCATATTTGTCCCTCTGGAACAAATTTCACTGTGCTATTTCAGCAAGCCTGCCTGAGAGTCTGGGTGGACTCTGGGGTTTTGACCCAGCATGCTCTCTTCAGGCCAGCTGCTGTCCACGCTGTCACTCCTGGCGATGCCCTGCAGCCTGTCTGGCTAATGCTCACACAGGCATTGCGTGAGCAACTCTAGCAACTGACGTGCTAGTCCAGCAACGTCCTCACTGCCAGCGCTCTCTCCCTCTCCTCCTCTGGGTTTCCCCTTGGGTAAAGGATAACATGAGTGTCATTGCCCTGTGAAGCTTCTCTCTTAGGTCGTCTCAATGATTTCTTCTTGGTTTAAGGTTCCGAAGTCTATGTAGAGTTCTATAACATAATGTCGATTTAGATTATGTATCACCCGGAATTACTTTGTGTGATGTCAGCCTTGCCAGTCAGTGAACAACTATTTGTGGAGAGTCTGATATGCGAATGACTCTTTTACGGCTGCAGATACTGTGATGAAGAAGAGTCTTGTGCTTAAGAAACTTTACCTCCTCACCTAGAGAATAAGCTTTTTACAGGACCAAGACATGTCAAAGTCTTTTTTGTTCTTTGAAGTAACATTGATTTATAACCTACACTTCAGCATCTATATATACCACATTAGAAATCAACGGAAGTCTGGTTTCCATTCATCACTATATACTTGACTCCTCTTACTCAATTTACCTACCACCCTTTTCTTTCCCCTTCCCTTCTGGTAAACACTATTTTATTTTTTACACTTTAAAATTTTGTTTTTGTTTTGCTTGTTTATCTACCACTTATGTGTGGAAACCATATGATTTTTGTCATTCTCCATTTCTGATTTATTTCACTAAGCATAACACTTTTTAGGTCAATCAATATTTTGCAAATGGAAGGATTTTGACTTTTAATAGTTGTGGACTATTCTATTGTGGATATATACCTCACATTTTCTTAATCTTCTTATCTGTCTATGGTTACTTAGGTTGTTCAACTCTTGGTTATTATGAATAATGTTTATTGCAATAAACATGGTGGCACATTACGTTATCATATTTGTTCACTAAATACCCAGAAGTAGGATAGCTAGATTTTATGGTACTTTTATCCTTAAGTTTTTGATGAATCTTTGCTTTCTGTACTGCTTTCCATGGTGTTTGCACTGACCTAGAGTTTCAACAGTGAACAAGGGTTTCCTTTTCTCCATGTCCTTGCCAATACCTTTTTGTCTTGTTTTTTCACCAAGTCATATAGGTGTGACGTGATGTCCTACTGTGGTTTTAATTTGCATTTTCCTAATAATAAGATGATGGACATCTTCTCATGTGCTGGTTGGCTGGCCATCTATGTTTTCTTGGAGAAAGACAAGAAATACTAGGCAATCCAGATTGATCTTGCCCATGAGTGTGCCATATGTTGCTTCTGTTATGTTAAGTTCCTTCTATACCCATTTTGTTGAGTGTTTTTATCATATATGAGTGTTGGGAATTGTGAAACGTTTTTTTCTGTAGCTATCAAGATATTAATATCCTTGGTATGGTCTCTCATTAATTCATTTGTAAATGTTGAACCATCCTTGCATCCTGGAATAAATCCTACTTGATCATGGCATATGATCTTCTAATACACTTTTGTGGCTTCTTATCAGACACTGAGTAAAGGCCAGGAGAATATGGGCAATACAGTTCCTTATCACCTAAGCCTTCCTTGATTTTTTTTTTTTTCTCATTTATTCTGAGAGAAACTTTATGCTCATTCTAGAGTGGACCCACCAAAGTATAGAAGGCCAAAACTCACCTGCAATAATAGCACTGATTGTAAAGAAAATATGGTTAACTGGCACCACCATCGTTGTATTGTAGAGTTTTGTGGCTTGATTCAGGAACCTAGAGCAGAAAGCACTCACTGAAGCTCAGGCTTTCAGAGACCCTCAGCAATAAGTTACCAACAACTTCAAGAAATGCATGTTCTGTAGCTCCAACTACAAAGGGAAAGGAAGTGCAGTAAAAGGGCATTTCCAATCAGCAGTCATAGCTTATATGCATCTGATGTATGAGATCAGATGTCAAGTTTTATGGTCTGTTTAAACCAACTACAGTAACAATGAAAAGCAATTAATCATATTCCGAGGCTACAGAAGTTTGAGTTGGAAGCGATTCAAGCTGCTGGACCAGTATCACACTGGGTCTGATTCATTAGGATAGACCCTCGAATCTGTTAAATATCATATCTGGGGAACAGTATAGCTATCCATTGACATGCCACGTGCCAAGAAAGAAGATGGAGAAGTAAAGGAATGTGTAATGTTTCAGAAACAATGCTCAGGGCTCCAGCTGCAGAGCACATGTGGGAGCTCGGCCACTCATTTTGACCACCAACATGATTCAGGCTCCCACAACTGTGCTGTGCTGCCCAGTCAGGGACTAGACTTTTTTCTAAAGCTGTGCATTGCACTGCTATCACCTGGGTGCTCTAAAAAAGTACGATTGTTTAGATTCTGACTAGCGCAATTAAAATTTGTGTGTTTGGGTAAAACCCAGGTGTGCCCGTGCATGTATTTATAGGCATGCACACTAGCACACACATGCACATACACGTGCATGTATACAAGCATGCCTGCCCATGTGTGCACACACACAGGTAGCTACGTGCATGTATACATATATGCACAGACCTCTTTGGGTAATTTTAAAGGGTAGCGGGGGTGATAACCACAGCTCTACAGTGAAGTAAAAGTAGGTTGACAGAAATGCTGTTTGCATTCAATTGCATCAGCCTTGTGAATTCATAAAGCAGAATGTAAAGATAATGATGCTAATCACTAAATTCCAATGTGCTGATTAATTCAGAAGGAGAAAGAGAAAGGAAACATTAAAAAGCTTCAAGTATAAGAAACACATTGTTTCGTAAGAAAATGACAAACAAAATAGTGACAAAACATGGAGTTTCTCCAGGAAATCCACATTTCATGTAACAAGGCCTCTGTCCAACACTGTATCCTATATCCCAATTAGACTTCACCTCTGGCGCTGAATGTAAGGAAGCCCTCTCTTCCTGTGTTGGGACTCTGATTTCCTTGCTGGCAGTGGGATGCTGCTTTTGCAAAGCATTGTAGGGTAAACAGAAAGCTTTCTGGTTGACTCAAGAGTCCAGCAGGCAAAAGCATAATCGCAATGTGAAATGAAGGGGAAGTGATTGGAACAGATGGAGGGAGGGGGGGAGAGAAGAGCAGAAATTTTTAAATGTTCCATGTCACCAATATTAGGCCCCTAGAGTAACATAAAGCAATCCTTCTGCAATCTCATGGGTACAAAGAAAATTCTAGCCAAAGATGCAAAGTTCTGGGAAAAAGATTTCCCTCAGGGCCAAACGTCTGGTTCTGTCCATCTCTGGGCAATTAATGAGCATGAGCTAAGAAATGAAGGTGAAGGGTTCATGTATTTCCTATATTTAGAATGAAATCCTGGATGTGGACCTGCCCCTCTGATTTATTGCTAATGACAACCTGTGTACGATGGATATTAATTACAAGCAGAAGAGCATCAGGAAAGCATCAAAGTGTGCTTAGCTGGATTATGGTCGTACTTTAGAACTCACAAGATGTGAAGGCAGTGCTTAGCAAAAACTTATTATTGGATGCAAAGGATCAAGCCAGGCATGTTGGCTAAGGATAAGCTGTAGACCCTTCACCCTTAGAAATCAGTTGCCACTAATTTTAATGATCATCTGAAGCCAATAAAGATTAATGTTCAGAGAAGCGCAGGAATGCTGAAAGATCAGTGAGTTTGTAGAAGCTAACTTACTTGACTTGGAAAACACAAGATGCTACCATGATGATAAACATGATATAGAAGATGGGATAGGTTAGTTGCATTTTATCCATCACAGAAAAAGTGATCATGCCTGAAACGGCTTTTACTGAAATAACAGTCAATGAGGCTGAAAAAGAAAACAAAAAATACAAATAAAATAACGTATTTGAGACAGAATTGCAAATAAATACCTTTCGCTTATGTGGCAGAGTGGTGAACACCCAACATGAGTGGGTCAGATGTGACACTCGCCAAGTGGTAGCCCAGTTGCTCAAGCTGAGCTGGATTTTAAATTTGCTTAAATCAGCTAAAGATCTGCTGTGTGACTGGGTGCTTTTTATCTTTGGAACAAAATGCTTATTTTCCAGCTTTAACTGTTGAAAGGATGCTGTGGAGGTTATAATTATTCGTTGATGGGAAAGGAGAAAACAATGAAGGGAGGAGATAAGAAAAGTCAGACTGTCCATGTGACAGCAGTGGGAAAATAACTATTAAATGATACTGAAAAAATTTTACAGCCACACAGATGAGAAGCCTGGAAGGGGAAAAGCAACTCACTTGGTGAATTTACTAAGCGTCAGACTAAGTCTCTATATGGGTCCATTATTAGTAAATACCTAGATGTTTCATTAAAAATAGTTTTTTTTGACAGAGACACTAATTGGAAGTAGGGGCCAGAATTGAGTATTCGATTCTCAGTCAATGATATATCCAGCTTTGACATGAGCAATGCCTATTTTCTGTGCTAAAGAAGAACCTATCCCTTTTGAGAACAAATTTTTCATAGGTTCCAAATAGTAATGAAGAAAAAGTGACTTGGTGTGGTTATAGTCATGCAATGTTTTCTGGAAACCCTGTGTTCCTGAAGGAAGAAGAGAGTGGGATTTTTTTTTTGGGGGGGTCCTTGGTTCCTTCATCTTACAGTTAGTTGCATATGATTCCATAACTAAAGCCCACAGAAAGTTACCATTATTCCCTTTCAAGTAAAACTTTTAAGTTAAAGGTAATGTGAAGACTACTACCTTTGTTGCAGTTGCTCTACCTGGTCATAGCATATCTGAGCTTTATTCCTTTTAGCTTTTGAAAAGACATTTTGTATATGAAGAGTATGTTTAAAGTAGGTGATGGCAATCAGTAAAAGCCTCTCATAATTTCCTTTTTCCCAAAAACTGAAAATTCACTTTAACATGAAGAGTACCAGGGCCAGATTATGCAATTTTTTTTTGTCGTTGTTCAAAATCATAATTAACAGGAGCTCTACTGATAAGTTCTAAACCACACCCTGAATCAGAACAAAGAGGCTCTGACAGTCAGGCCACTCTTTATCTAACAGTGTCTTCTCACCTGACCCTTTATTTCTCACAGATTATGGCAATAGCTCTATTTTGGTTAATCTAGGAAATTGTAATTATTTGTGAAGATGCCCGTACTATTTGATGGTTGACACATTTAATGTTAGCACTTGAGGAACCTGAATTTCTTCCTAAGCAATTTAGACCATGTGGCTATGGTCTTGTGCCCCAACAGCCAGGTTCCCAAAGGACCAGGGAGCTGAACACACTGCAGTGGCCTCCGACTCAACATGCAAAGTCCTCGCAGGTCACCTCAACCACTCGAGGATGATAGTGCCACTTAAGCACAAACAAAACCAGAATTCTTTAGTAAACAGTTAAGCAAACTATCAGTTACTGCAATTTGTATATTTTCAAGGCATGAACAAACTTCATCACTATTTACTGTGACTGCAAGTTCTTTCTAGGCTACTGTCCAGTGCTTCTAGGGTTTTTCTTGTCTTTTTTTTTTTTTTCTCCAGGGGTGTGGTTGATGAAGACAGATGAAAATACAGAATTATAATGCTGTATCATTCTACCAGATATATAGAAATAGAAAGTATATGCTAATGGGAAAAAGCTAAAAAAAACTGCATCAAGATAATTCAGTATCGATGGTTCAGTCCATGCACTGGGATTATGAATACTATAAACTATTTTTTAACCTATAAAAGCATTCATTCCAGAACTTTGGATAATGCAGAAACACCTAGAAGGAAAAGAGAAAATCACCTGTAATCTCACCACTCATTCCTAAGTCATTTTTAGCATCTGGGAATATTCCTTTTTATTTTCCTATCTCTAAGTATGAATATCATACATCATATAGTACATACTACTTAGGAACCTATCTTCCATTGCCAGTATTTTTAATGCCATTCTGGATTCTTCTAAAGCATGATTTTTATTGGATAAAATGTATGCTTTTGTATAAAAGTATAATTTATTTCTGTAATTTCCTATTCTTGGCTATTTAAGGTATATAGACTTTTTCGCTATTAAAAATGACTGTGATGAACATCTCTAAACATAAATATGACTGGTATCTGGTGGAATTTGTATCAATATTCAGTGTAAAATTAGTTCCTTCTGCTATCTTTCAGAATTGGGATCAATATTTATACTGACTATGTAAAAAAAAAAGGAAATTTTCTTTTTACTTGAGTAGTTTGAATAATATGAAAATAATTAGTTTCTTAAATATTTAAAGTATTACTTTTAAGCAGTCTCTTGCTTAGAATGAAACATTTAAAACAATTCCTCAATTTCCTCCATAGTTAGCATCCTTCAAAAATAACTTCTTCCAGGTTTCATATTTATTCTCATATTTTTAACTGAGATTTTCTTCATGGAGAATCTGACTTGCTAGTTGTCATTTACGTACATACTCTTGTTTTTTAAAGAATTATTTATTTTATTCATATAGAACTGGGGTACAAGACAGAGGTGCAGGGGCACAGACAGAGCAGGGAGCAGAACAGGCAGATTAATGAAGTACCTTGCTGAGGGGTGCAGTGGGTGGGCCAGGAGAGGTCTGCCATGCCATGCGGGTCACCTCCTGGGTGGGGATTGAATTTGCATTGAAGCGGCTGTGGCCAGCTTGCAGTGCTGCATCCTAACTTGTTGCACCACCAGGGAGGGCCCCTATTCTTGGTTTTTATTTGTCAGTTTACTGCTTTTCTACTTTCTATTTCATTTTTGCTTTTATCTTTATTTTTTAATTTTTATTTCATTTTTTTTTAAAGATTTATTTGTACATACAGAACTGGGGTACAGGCCAGAGGCTCAGGGGCGGCGAGAGGCTTTACTAGAGACAGAGCGGGAAACAGAACAGGCAGAGTGACGAAGTACACTGCTGAGGGGGGCAGCGGGTGGGTCAGGAGAGGTCTGCCGCGCCATGTGGTCACCTCCGGGGCAGGCGGGAATCGAACTCATGCGGAAGTGGCTTTAGATTCTCAGTGCTGTGC